GGGGTCGTGCACCGCTGGCTATCGTAGATGTTCCTCTCGCGCCAGGTCAACTGGTATACGCATCTCATTTTTCCTCGTCGTATTCCAAATCTCATGCATCTATGTATAGCGGTATGCTACAACGGGTGCTCCTTGCGATGATGATAGCCTGATACGTGATGACTCGGAGACTATGTTTCCCCCTGCTCATTCCCCCAATCACGCTCACGTCGAGGATCGTGAATGCTGGACGACATGGAAACGGCCGATTTCGTTTCTGTTTCTTCTAACTAATTTAAAAATTGTTCCCTGGTATCTCGTTACTATTGTCATCCTTCGTTGCAATGCGTTGTCCTCGTACACTTATGTTGATTCTCATGGTCACTATACTCCAAAAGCGCTTCAGATATATCAACAATCCCCGATGGTCGATCCTGCCCAGACTCTCAGAGTGTTTACAGTGGCCCGAGGCATCGCATGTCACAAACGTGTTCTACTTCTACAGCGAACTACGGTAAAAAAAGTGCAAGGATCTCCCATACTGTCCTGCGCCAAACTAGCGCAATCAGAAGGTCAGTCCCACCCCAGATTCATTGAAAGATATGACATTCTATCTTTTGTAAGTAGGTAGCATCTCAGAACACATCCAACATTGAAGTATCATATTCCTATTTCTAAATCTTCCGAAACTGATGCTCTTCGAAGTGAAGGTGTATCGCGTGAGTTTCTGCCGCCGCACGTGTGCCGACAATCACGATGTTATAATGATCCCAGCCTTCTTTCTACATATAATTCACGCTACTCGTCATAAAGAGCCGTGAATCACTTATTTGCTACTAGTATTGAAATAAATGGTGCCTTTTAGTAAACTAGAAAGGGTTCATAGCATGAGAGACCACCCTGCTATGCACTCGATCTCAACAAACATCTTTCGGAAGTCAAGCAACTTCAACGGCTGAACGTGCTGGCTTGTGTCCGAACCGCTAGAGAACTCTTCATAATTTGTTGACGTTGGAAAGTCCCTCCATGTGTTTGTTTGTGCAGGGGCACTTAGTATGAAATGCATCACCGACTCGGAGATGGCTGTCTCGGTGAAAAAGCAACACACCATAGTCTTAATGACCTTGCCAGCTGAACTAGAGCTGGCTTCAAGAACAGCTTTGAGATAAACCTTAATGGCTTTGGAATGGGATGTTGAAATTGGCAAGTCGTTTGGCTGCCATCTCTCCATTATATGTTTCACTTGTATTTGCTTCAACTCTGATTACTTTGATACATTCTTCAAATTCTAGTGCCTGCCTGTCAGCTGTCTAGATATGCGCACAGTGTGACATTGACTTACCCAATTCCCCCTCATTGTATATAATCTCCTATGATACATGTCCTGTACCTCAGGCGTTGTTTCTCTCTCGAGTGCATGACTGAGGTTAGTTTACCCTTTTGTTATTTATGCTGGTACTTATGCTGATTACCTACAGTACTATCTTTCATATAGGTAATGATCAGGTGTTGTTTTCTCTCTTGAGTGTGTGACTGAGTATACTATCTTTGATATACATCAGCAAAACCCACACAGCGTGTCACAGGTCACATAGATTTTGTTGTAAAGGCTCTGCAGCACCACACAAGTATTGATTCTATGTAAAATGTAGTCACAAACATGTATATAACAAGGATGGGTGCTAATAGTTATGTTTATAGAGAAATTGTGTAGTGTGCAAGCACTGTACAGCACTGTACAGGGGGGACCTTGCTGTGACACTGTGATTTCTGTGCAGCATTGTGCAGTGCTGCACATAGGTTAGGGTTTTGCTGATGTAGTCACACACAAACAACTAGGTTATATTCTCATTATGGTACTCATGGCTGAGGGTGCATTGGGCATTGAAATGAATGTGATCGTAAACAGTTGTGCATTTTGTTCTGATAACCTGAGTGATGGAAAAGCAGAAAACTCAGACAGAGAGCACTGTCCTATGACAGGAAGGCTGACATTGTTAAGGTCACGTGCTCAAGGGGGTCAGATCACAAGGGCTTGGCCTCAGCTTCAGATGCTGTGCCCTTTCCTGAGTATGTGGCCCCTTAATTTCCGGGGGCTAGAACAGCCATCTTGAGTTTCTGGATTTGACTAGGGTGGACAACGGACGTCCAGATCTGAAATGTGAGATAAATCCGATGGACGTCTGGATGTTACCTGGGCAAGCAGATAAGACTAATCTGGATGAAGTCCAGACTAGAAACTAACGGAGGATGGACTACCTTAAGGTAGGTTGGAAATGTAGTCTAGGGATGCAATCCTAAGACTCAGAATATGACAAGAGAATTATCTTGAGTCCGGAGGACACAGGAATGAGCAGGAACTAAGATGATATTTGAACTGCAGTATTTTCTGAGAGTTACAGGAGGTTTATATACTGTAGGTATCATATAGGAATCAGTCAGCAAACATAAAGGCTATGTATGAAGCATATGCAAAGTCTATTAGTAAGTAGGATGGATCACAAATCAATGAACACTGGAAATGAAATGTAGGTACAGATCAATAATCAAAAGGGAAACATGGTTTAACCAGAGTCTGGAGACAGGGGCAGTCTAAATGGGGTTTGGGCGCTGATATAGGGTTTGGATTCCGGAAGGGAGATAAAGATAGATCAGATCATTTGAGATCTGGATCTCAGATCCGGATATCTGGAGAAGCGGATTTAGAGTTGAGAGTCTGGAATGGCATATGACAGACATGGAATTTACAAGACAGATGGGATATATGCTCTCGAGGCAGTAACCTACAGGGTCAGTAACACTGTCAAGTTGTTGTGGTGAATGATTATATGCCATGGTGAAAGAGCTTAGAGGATGGGATGTTGGCCTTTGAATGAGATGGTTTGATACTTAAAGTTTGTCATTAAAAGGAGACATATTTACAGAAGGGAGGCACCCTCTCATCTACCATACAGTGGCTCAAAAAACTGTCCACATGTTTTGACATTTTTCACTATCTATGATATTGTGTGAGAATGAACAAATGCCTCAAGGACATGCTTATAGCACATTGTAGTATGGCTTCAGGGCTTTCATTTGAGCCCTACACCGTGGGAATCGGTGGAGATATGGTGGAGACATAAGGCTTATAAAATGATGACTCATGTGGACAGTTTTTTGAGTGTATATTAAAACTATATAAATCATTATTTATGATACCACAAAAATCATGCCACTATTATATAAATTATGAAGTGGTGTCATTATGTTATTTTATGACTATATCTAACTATATAAACCAGAATATCTCATGTATCATAGTCATAATCATCATGAAAGCCATCTCCTCTGCTCAAAGAGATAATATCCTCTCTCTGTCTTATGCTGGCCTCTCTGCTCACCAAATTTCCTCTAGAACTGGAGTATGCAAGTCCACTGTGGCCAAGTTTATCAAAGAAAGCCACCCAGACAAGGAAAACTCTTGTGGAGGACGTCCATCCAAGCTTACCTCTACTGACAAAAGGGCTATTATCCAACATATCACTACAGGAAAGGCTGATAATGCTGTCCAAGCCACCCATTATATCAATTCCACCATCACTACCCCTGTCTCTTCACAAACTGTGAGGAATGTTCTCAAGGCAGCTCATCTCAAGGCAGTAACAAAGAAGAAAAAGCCCCTTCTCTCCATCAAACATAGGCAGAGAAGACTAGCCTTTGTCTTAGCTCATCAACACTGGACTGTAGAGGACTGGAAGCATGTTATATGGTCAGATGAGACCAAAATCAATAGGATTGGGTCAGATGGGAAGGTATATGTATGGAAAAAGAAGGGAGATGGCCTAACAGACAGAGAGGTTAATGGGACTGTCAAGTTTGGAGGAGGTTTTTTAATAGTATGGGGCTGTATGAGATGAAATGGTGTGGGAACACTTGCTGAGGTTGAGGGGAAGATGAATGCTAAGCAGTATGTGGACATTTTAAATGACCACTTGCTGCCTAGCTTGGCAGAATCAGGGATTGATGAAGAAGATATCATTTTCCAACAGGATAATGATCCAAAGCACACATCCAGAAGAGCTAAGGAATGGTTTGAAGAACATAACATCAATGTTCTTGACTGGCCAGCACAGTCTCCTGATGTCAATGTCATTGAACATCTCTGGGGAACACTCAAGAAAAAGCTTCAAGCCTATGAAAACCCCCCTAAAGGAGTATGGGAGCTTTGGGAGAGAGTAGCAGTGGAATGGGGGAAGATCACAGCTGAGGATTGCCAGAAATTAATTGAGAGTATGCCTAGAAGGATAGAGGCAGTAATTAAAGCCAAGGGAGGTCATACAAAATACTAGAATACCTGGTTATTATTGTAAAATACTTGAGTCAAAAAACTGTCCACATGAGTCACCATTTTGTGAGCCTTATGTCTCCACCATATCTCCACCGATTCCCACGGTGTAGGGCTCAAATGAAAGCCCTGAAGCCATACTACAATGTGCTATAAGCATGTCCTTGAGGCATTTGTTCATTCTCACACAATATCATAGATAGTGAAAAATGTCAAAACATGTGGACAGTTTTTTGAGCCACTGTATATACCTGCGATATTGTTAAGGTCATACTCAAGGGCTAGTGGATCCTAAGGGCTTCAGCCTCAACTCATGCACTGTGCCCCTTACCCAAGTATTGCCCCTTATTTTAGAAGGGCAAGACTAATGCATCTGGAGGGTCAGACGAGTAGCATAGTGGATCCAGATGACTTCTGGATGCAAGATAAGTATTGTAGGGCTAATCCAGACAAGTCCAGACTAGAAACTAATGGTAGTGGACTGTTGTAGACAGAGGCAGATACAGATAGACTATAGGAATTAATCCTAAGTCTCAGAGGGTATCAAGAGTAGAGATACTCAGGTCTGGAGGACAGGAATGAGCAGAACTAAGTTGATATTCCAACTGAGGTGTTACAGAGATTTACAGGAGGTTATATACTATAGGTATCTAATGGAATAATCAATCAGCAGGGTCCAAGGCTATGTACGAAGCATATGGATAGTCTATTGGTAAGTAGAAATGGATCACAAATAATGAAATGGAAATGAAGCATAGGTAATGGATCAGTGAGCAGGACAGATATACCAATAACTGAAATACTGGAGTTAGGGGATTACTGAAAGGAGATGAGTGCTGGTTGTGGGTTCAGATGAATTGTGGACCAGACTAGATGAGTGGACAGATTAGATGATGAGATGTTGGAGGGGGATAAGATGTGGATTGGATCTGAGATGAGATAAGGATTGGATCTGAGATCCAGATATGCAGATATGACAAGTCTCCTACGCCCAACTCTGACCAGTCTGAGTCATCATCTAGTAGATCCAACTCTGAGCCAGAGTCAGATGAGGCTTTGAATGATGATGGTGCCAATACTATGCACTCAGGCCCACCTTCCCCACTTCCTCTACTTCCCTCACTTTCATCCCTCAGTTCAGAGGAGGCTTGGCCTGATGCCAGGACTGCTCCTGCCCAACTTCCCATAAAAGACCCACTGCCTGCCACTGCAAGCACCACCACCCTTCTTGTGGAGCCTTATCATCCCCTGAGTCAAGAGCTGCTTGGAAAGATCCAGGTCAACAACAACAAGTATGATATTTTGAAGGTCATGTTCTCAAGTACTAGTCTCATTGGTCGAGGCACTGTCTGCTACCAAGCTAGGAGGGCTTCAGATGGCCAGGGATTTGTCATCAAGGACCACTGGGTCCTTTGGGATGTAGATGATGTAGATGTCCTGAATGAGATCATGATGATGAAGGCAATGGATGATATTCCTGGTGTCCCAAAGCTTGAAGAATATTGCAAGGTTATGTTATCCAGTGAAGTTGATAATACATGGATGTACTGTTACTTGGAGTCAACAAGCTTAGAAGGTACTTGGCACACACATGTGCGCCTGGTCATAAAACCCCAAGCACAGCACTTGCAGGAATTTAAAACAAGGAAGGAGCTTGTTCAAGCATTACTTGACATTATGATCAGTAAGTATCTCAGTCAACATGATTATATTTTTACTGACAGTTTTTCTAGTTCAAAAGAGGGCAGTGCAAGAATGAGGGATTTTGCATTGTGATTGTAGTCTTTATAATGCTGCAATTGAGGACAAAGATGATGGCAGTAGCAATGGTATGCTGATTGACTGGGAGTTTGCTGCATGTATCCTTGCAGATGACCATTACTCCTTGGGTGGAACAGTGAGTACCACATCAATTCAGGAGTCATCAAGTTTGGGCATTGACACAAGTTGCAGGGCATGGTTCCATTTCTGTCATGGTCAGTTCTGGGACAGCTTGCTGTCTGGGATAAACATTCGCAAAACTCCTGCCACTTCAAAGTGGCATCAGACTCACAGGCTATATCAATTGGGTCTGTCAAACAGGACTTCATGGACAATCTCGAGTCTCTGTTTTATGTCTTTATGTGGATCTGTATCATGTTCAGTGGTCCCCTCAGTAAGGAGCATGACATTACATTGGAGGAAGATTGGCTTCCATATGAATGGAGTCACATGTCACTCCGCCTTTGCCAGAATGCCAAGAACATGTACTTTTTCAACATCAGGGAGTCACTCGACCAGTTTGACCCTTACTTTGCACCTCTTCTTCTGCTCATGTGCAATTGGACAGACTTCTTACACTACAATTTCCCATCAACCAACACTGATAGGAAAATCGCAGAGCACAAGCCTGTAATGTTTGATGATGTCATTGAACTCCTAGATAAACACCTTGCACTCCTTCCAGACAATGAGCTATCCCCTGAGCATTTGTTCAGACAGACAGTGATGAACAAGAATATCCAGGATGTAGCAGACAGGGCAGACATCATCAAGAAGATGCAATCTGGGGCAGCCATTACCACAAGTATACCTCAGAAGAAGTGTGGTCTTAATGACACAGGACAATCAAACCTACAAGATTACTAGTGAAGCAGAGGCACAAGCAGATGCTGACAAGTGATTTCAAGCCTGACTTGGAGGTAGTTACTACTCCAGCCAGTGAGGTTTCACAGTGAGATCACCCTTTCATCAAGTCTGAGCCTTGTTACTACATATGCTACCTACTGGTCATGCCTCATCCTACTTACTGTGACAGTCTATATTTACTACAAATGCTTTGTGCTTACAATATTTATGCAGGCTACCTTTTTTACAAGATCACTAGAATTGATAGTTGTGGCTGTGTATACAGTACAAGTATTACTACATTCATGGTTGCATGTCATGCCTTTAAAATGTAGTGTACAGATATATATCTGTTAAAGAGATGGACTATTGAATCTGGGGCTCTCAGGAGATAACATTTTGAGAAGAGTGTGCTGCTATCCCTTGCGTGTTGTGATGGTGCTGTGTCATGACCTTGTGGTGGACTTGAATAGCCTAGTACATTTTTTGAGCAGTGTCAAAGCTACTTCATGCAAGAAGGTCATAGATAGCATCTTGATTTAGAAGAAAAAAGAGAGTGGTAAACAACATTGAGAAGAGTGTGCTGCTATCCCGAAAGAGGGATCCTGGGCTAAAGTCAAAGTGTCATCCTGGGATGATAAATTACAACATTCTTGGATATCATCCTGCCTGACATGACTGATCTGACTGATTAGGCCTGTTGTTGTAATGAAGATTGGAAAACACACCTATTAAACTCAAAATATTGTATAGAACTCACACACTCTGATCTCAAACCCCTATTGTCCTCTGATCACAAGAAGATTCCTGATGCATATGAATCCACACAACTTGATCTACCTTACTATTAAGTATTGTGCTACATCTGATAATGTCATCAAATATGTCTGTACAAATTGTCTTATGTGCAAATTTGAGTCAGTGTGTTAATTTGACTGACTGACTTACAGAGAGACCAACAATCTAAGTCCACATTATATAATATGTGGCCATCCTACACTAACACTTAAATTGGTGCTACCCCACTAACTTGAACTGCACCGCTTGTACCTTTGAGCAACCATATCTCAACTCAGTAATTCTGTGTTGACATAGACATACAATGCCATGTCAAGCTAAGCATCCCAAATTATTTCAACTCTCCCCAAAGGCTAAGGATGCCATGTACAAACGAAAATGGCATGAGGAGAAGAAGTCTGACCCCACTGAAAATGAGCATCTCAGGCAACTGCAAAATGAGTACAAGCGATGTTCACGCATGAAGCTGAAGCTTGAACAGTCCATCACAGAGCCTCCTGCAAAGTGCCGCTGTGTTGCAGCACCTGAAGCAGGTCCTTCAGACTCCCATGTGCCAGTGTCCAATTCTCCAAGTGTCATGGAAGGTCCATCCGATGACACACCCAACACTGCTGGTCCCTCAAACACACAAAATTCTACAGCTGTTCCAGGTCCATCTGACATCACTCTTGGTCACACACCAGTCTAGGCTGTACTGTCACACCAGTTTAGCAACATCTCTGTGACCACAGAACCTTCCCCTGTGACCTGCAATGTCGAGGTCATGACAGAATGTTCATGCATCAATCCCACTACCTCTTCAAACAATGCTCCAGCACCCTCCACCTGTTTCACACCACCCAGAGACTTACCTGATGACTCCAAAGACCTTGTGACCAATGTCATAGGGGTTCACATGTCTTCATTTTCAGATACTGTCAAATGGTCCAGTGGGTTCACCACTATACTACCATGTATCTGGAAGGATGGCAAAAACATTTGCCAGGGAGACACTGATACAGTCTGGTATTTATCCCAGCTTCCAGAATCTGACCCTCAGTCATTGTTGCACATCATTCATATACATCATCACAATTGGTCCTCTAGACCAGACAAGCTACATAATCTCATTGTGAAAACTCTGCATGAAGGAAAGTGCATGGTGATTTGGGGAGTTGAAAAATCTCAGGTGGCAAAGCTTGATGTAGACTACCTCGAAAATTGCAGTTTCTCGTGGTTTATGCATGTCACTATACATGGTCAGTCTTTTTAGGTACATCTCCCCCCATCAATCTTACACAGTCCAACAGACGTCAAAGTGTGCACTAGGGATTTTACATACCCCCAAGTTGAGGGAACGATCAAAGAGTTCATCCTCAACTTAGATGACCCAAATAAGATACAGTTCATCCTTGACCTTCCATATACAGGAATGGGTATCCCAGAACACTTGCAGTGAGTAAATGTCCAGTGTCCTAAACCATTCCTTTAACCCTTGATTTCATTAGACTACTCAATCATGGCATTGTTCATGGGTGGAATCAAACCACAGCCAAGTATCCCATCATCAATCCAGTCCATCCCGATAATTTTCTCATCAATGGGTGGGCTTTGGCCCATCACCTTGCCATCCTGATGAATTTTCACCATGACTCAGACAGAGGTGTGACTTTTGTTCAGTCAGTACTGGGGAAAAAAATGTGGATTCTGGCTTTTCCAAAAAATCCAAAACTTTTGTGGACCAAATTCTTAGAACATTCTCTAGAGTTGATGAACATCCCCATAAAACCCAACAAGATCAAGGCCAACTGGAATATAGAGGTAGTTACTCTTGAGGAGGGTGATATGTTGTGAGTCAATCACTGATACATTTATCAGTGTTGACTTACCTCTATGAAGATACAACCACCAGGACAATACCATGCAGTTTTTACACCACAGCTGCATTTTGCAAAGGAGCTCACTGTTTCAACTATGAATTCTTGCATGAGATAGAGTTATCCTGCCATCTCGATACAAGGAATGGAAAATACCTCACAAACCAATTGCATGAACACTCTCTCGACACACTTCATCAAATGGTCCTTCATCTACCATGAGCATCTTCTCACACCAGTAAGTAAACATATCGTCAGTGTCAATCCTTTTAACTCTATTTCAAGGGCTATTCACAAGGCCTCTCATCACGCTCTGCATGATGGTCATAGACTCTTATAAATATGTTGCTGCTGGCAGCAACAAGAAGAAATCCCTCCAATGGTCAACCACTGCACCTGCAATCACAATTTGTAATGTGATTGTCAAGCATTTTTGGACAGACATCAAAACCACAGTTTCAGTATATGTCAAGGGGCCTGATAAGACTCAAGGCTGTCAGAGTCTAACACACCCAGGAGAGCTTATAGACAGATCAGAGCTTGCAATTTGCTTAAAACCATTTAGAAAGCTATTATGAGATACAAAAAAGACAAAGGATCACCTTGTGTGGTTGCCACATTTGTTCCCTACAGACTTTCATGACTTGACTGACATAAGTCATCAAATTCCATGACATTGATTTGCATCTCATCCAAAAAGGAAATAATGACTGTCATTCAATACTGTGACAGCCTAGTGTACTCATGTTGTAGTACTGACTACATAGTATGCTATATATACAAGGACTGCACCACCATAGTCACTTCTTGGTGAGAGGCCAAATCGTGATAGTTAGTGAACAAGTACCAATGAGGAATGTGTGTGTTTTCATGGCATCCATTATGTAGCAACTTACATGCTCTTCCTGTGCTTGGTTACACTATGTCATACAGCATCATAGAGCCTCCATCCATCATCCAACCAGTTCCCTGGTGTGTCCCTTTTCATTTATTCTTGATATTAGACTATTTCTGGTATCATATGATATTTTATTTCATCATGGACCCTTACTTTACCTCACTTGCATACATAGAGCACTCCCTGTTTGCTTCCAAGCCCTGGGAGTGCGCCTAGGCACAGCTTACCTGTTGCCTAGGAAGTTTTTTTGGTTAGTAACTACTACCACTAGCTACCACCACAACCATCATCTACCATCATGTCAGTTAGTATCTAGAGTCAGAATCTATCATCTTCAGTCAGTATGCATCAATCACTGCCCTAGTCCTCAGCAAGCAGTCTATTACCATCAGTCACCATTCAGCAGCCTCAGTCCACATCTTCACACCTTCTACCAGTTTCTTATATGTTTGCACACTGCTTGTGCCTTATTCCCATGCTTTGCACTCCTATGCACTCTATATTCCTGTGGACACTTTCATTGCACTTTGCCAGAGTTGACCTGGTGTCACCCCATGGATCTTTGCTTTCCTTGCTTCCCCTAAGGGTCAAATGTATCACTTGGCACACTTTGACCAACACTTAGAGAGTTAGAGGCTTTCTCTTACCCCAGAGTGAGAGCCCTCTTTCTTTCTGCTGCTCTGCAAGCCAGCAGAGTAGTTGAACCTTCAATGGTGTCACCTCACTTCATCAAGAGCCTTGTGGTGGATTGAAGACTAATGCTTGGAAGTGGAGTTTTCAACAAGTCACACCAGGGTCTATCACATGGGTGGCAGTAATTATATGTTATTTATATTATATCAAACATCTCTAATGATATGTTTTAATGCAGGCAATCTTTCTACTCTCACCTGACACAGAGTTTCTGGGTTCAGGAGTGGGGAAATCATTGACTATCAACTACAAAGACATATTCCTTCAGTACAAGAAGATGCTCATCATCAAGTGGTACACAAAACACATTGAAAGTATTGTAGCCAGTATCAACAGCTACATTTTTGGTGCTGCAAAGTTGTCCACCCTTAATCCGACTGGTAGTGAAGACTTTTAGAGGAAATCAATAGAGCTATACTTGCACTTGACATGTTATTAGACAGCAAAGCAGATGAGGCTCAACTAGCCTTATCAGCACTAGTCCCATTGTCAGCACTGGTCTCATTGTCAGTACCAGTCTCATCATCAGCACCATTAGTCTTGTCAGCAGCACCTGAAGATCCAGGTTCTATCATCTAGCCTGTGGAACAAGGATCAACATCTCAAGCTGCTGCTTGATGTACTAGTGTTGAAGCAGTCACCAGCAATATATTAGATGAAGCTGATGATAATATAATAGGCAGGGGCTGAGGGAAGGCAAAGAGAGGGAAGATTCAGTCAATAGCTACACCTCAGGATGTTCATCACAGGCATTCCAATAAGGCATAGATACTAGTTACATTGACGATTAGTGATTCTTACTTTAAATTGGTGCTGTTTGGTGTTGTTCATCTATTGAGCTTGTTAAAATCTTATTGTGAGAGCTGCAGCAGCACTAAGGTGCAAGATTTGGATTCAGATGCTTACATAACAATGAGGTTGCAACATTTTGCAATCACATACAGTTACAGTTGCAACTATGTGACAGTTCAGAAATTTGACTGTCAAATCAATCATCCTCTGGAATTGATGGACTCCTCACACAAACTCTCTTCCTGAATTATCTTTCTTTGCTGACAGGTACTAATAGTCTTTATCTTGACCAATCTTGAATATCTAGTGAAGATTCAGAATCAGAATCAATTAAACACTAGGACTGTCCAGGGCAAGTCTTATTATTTTTCTACCTTGAAGGGCTATGGTTTTGTTCATTATGAGACTGCTGATTCAGATTCAGATACTACCATCAATTAAAAGCTTAGGCTTAATATTAGTTCAGCAGTATGCTGTTGAACAACAACAAGAAGGTGTATGGAATTGGTCACCCCATCTCTCTGTCAATGAATTGAAGGTTTATTGCATCAATTGTCAGAACATGTGGTCTCATACTTAATCCCCTCCTGTTCCTATGAAAATAGGAACATTGATCCAAGATTGACAAAAAGAAGGCCCAATTCACCAATTTGTATATTAAGGATCTTGACCTCTGAATCAGGGTCACCCAGGAGTCAAAGTTCAAGGAGCTCTTCAACCAATATGGTAGCATGACTTTAATTCTGCAATCATCCAGGTCAATGATGAAGGCAATCAATAATCAGCAAGGGTTTCAGCTTTGTCAATATCATCAGCCACATGATGTGGCCCAGAGGGCTGTTGGTGACCTTCACAAGAATATCCAGGTATGTCTCATTTATTGTATCGTTTTCATGCTTGCTTAATACTGTCTCTTAATTAATAAATGCCCCCCAACTCCCTCTTAATTCAAATGCCTGCTTGCACCCTCCAGCACATGACCACATCAAACCACATCCTCCAGAACTCTTCCTTCATCCAACCACAGCCTCTAGCACTAATACAACTTGAACCATGTCCTCCCAGCAAACTCTGATTCAGAATTCTTCTGCTTCCATCATCTCAGCCCAATGACACCTGAACCTTGGACTGATGACAACAATAACCACAATGACAACCAAGACCATGACAAGGATGGCAACCACAATGATGATAACAATGACAATGACAACAAGGACAAGGACAAGGACAAGGACAACAGTGACAACAACTACCATTAGCCATGCCAATGACCCCTAGAGCCAAGTGCATGGCCAGTGCACATTAGCAAATGCTGACATGGTACAAATATGTGCATGCTGCAACCAAGACAGGGAGAAGGTGGGGAAGGGGTCAGATGACTGATATGGATGCTTGGGGATGCAGAGGAGCAGGAGTAGGAGTATATACTATGGATGTATTCAAATGCATACCACTACCATTTGTATTAATATTAGTACTAGAATATCAAAATTACAAATAAAACATTGCAATCATCATTACAATTCAATTGCAACTCTGCTATTATAAGCACTTTCAATTTATGTTTGGTCTTTGAATGTTGAAATACCTTAAAAGGCACTGGAACCCAAATTAGGAATTTGTGGCATAAATGGATGGTTATGATATGATAACAATATCACATTATTGTGCTGGAGTCAGTGGCCATTGGTACCAGACATACCCATAGTTCTGAGATCAAGCTCTGTGGATCCAAGGTGGACAGGAGATATCCTTTTGCATTGTGTTGTGTTTAAGACACATATATTTGATCTTAATCTCCACCCAGTGCTTCCCATAATGCTGCTTTTCATGCAGATGGAATATTATGTTGTATACTGGGGCCCTGCACTCCATATTGAAGCATCAGAAGATGTTGAGGCCCCAGGGCCTCCTGTCTTGAAGGTTCAAGTACACAAATACCCTGGTATTGATGACATGCTGTTGCTTGTTATGTACATCCATTTGTATATCTGCAAATGATAGCAGCACCAGTGAGTGGTTGAGTGCATGTCTGTCCTCCCCAAATGACTCCTCCAGTGCATCCCATATCTTCATGTCATATACATAGATGTTTTCCACAAATCAATTTAAAGCAGGGACAACAACCACATCCAAAGTGGATATGCCAGCAAAGGTGAGAAAAAAGTCAAATATGTCTCTGAGAAATAGTATTACTGAATGTGGTTAGACTGGTGCAATGACCAAACTCACTCTTTAATCATGTGTCTTAACAACTGAGTGCTTTTGTCAATCCTCCCAGTTGAACCACAGGAACATATGACAAGCCCATAAATACATGGACCAGCTCCCTGGTTCATATTGATTACAGAAATTGCTAAGTTGCTGGCCACAGATTCTCATCTCTGATGTAATTATGAAGAAGCTTTGCAATAAGTTTGAGCTATTGACAATAACTTGGACATATACCACAGTGACTGACCTTGTGAATAGACAGTGATTATGGATTCTTGTTATTCCCAGCTATGACAAGATTTCCAGTCTCAGTATCTGAATGTGTATTAACACATCAAAATGTTTCTCTTGTAGTTAATTTGACTCAGCTATTCAAAGTGGCATGTCATGGCATTCAGATGATTGTTCCCAGCTTTCAGTGCCCATGTTGCAATGTGAAGCTGTGGATATTAAGTTACCAGATATCATATCCTATCTGCCGGACCTAGATCCCATAATATTTCTATGCCTGCCGAGCCTGTATCCAGACCCCAGATCTAACTCATTCCCAGATCCTCTTTCACTGTATGCTCCACACCTCAGTGGGATTAGCTCTGCTATGGAATTACCCCTGAGCTCCAGACCTCTGGATCCTCACTACTAGCCTGATCCATATACCACTATCCTGTTCACCCTATGCACATTCCATTCAGCAAGACATCTAGACTTTATCTCCTCTTGGATTCTAGACTACATCTACTCCCTCACATATCTCAGTCCTGTTTCTACCTTGTCTTCCAGATCTCCAGGTCTCTGGACCTCTGGATAATAACTGTTACTATCTCTGGACTTATTCCCACCCTTTATCCAAGATCCTGCACCTATCCCCATTTAGGCATCTCTGCCTTTCTGGTTCTCAGTTATCAAGAATGGATTCCCCAGGTCAGAAATCCAGACCTTTGGATTTGTCCCCTATGTCTCTGTCCCAAGTTGAGGGATTGCTTTCCTAGGCTGGAGTCTTGCCTTTCTAGCACTTACCTCTCTCTGGACTTTGGTCCACTTCCTGTCTCTCCAACTCTACCTAAGGATAGTTCACCTCTGTTTGTTTCTACATCAGACTTTGTCCAATGTAGCCCCTATTCCTTCCAGACCTCCAGACTTCCTGTCCTTCATACCTCTGGACCTTCAGTCCTCCTGACCTCTGGACCTTCTGACCTCCTATCCTCTCATCCCATTTCCTCTAGAGATATTGCCTTGGGGTCTCTCTATTTCCTATGCAGTGGAAAATCCTCCAAGCTTTTTCTGAACTCCTCTGGAACTCTCCTGCACTCCTCCAGATGCTTCCCACATATCTCCAGAAGTCCTTATGCACTCCATTAGAGTAACCAGCCTCTGGAAGTCCTTTGGATTTCAATGGACCATCATCAAACTTCATCTGAAATGAAGGGCACATACTTGGGTAAGAGTCACAGCATATGAGCTGAGGCCAAGCCTCTTTGAATCAGTCCCTCTCCCTTGAGCACAGTTCTTAACACCAGATCTCAATGGCCCTTGAAACACATCAATGATGTATTCTAGTTGGGTTGATATGAAATCACTCCTTGAGCATTGATTAGATCATGTTTAACACATATGTAAGGGCTCCTGAATCCACTCCACACCAAAAAAACTGCAAGATATGGGAAGTAATTTTGATACAAATAGTCTTGTCTGACTGAATATCCTTGAACTTTGTACTGCTGTAATGGTAGCATACTATGGTATCCATTATGCATCCAAGCTGATGCACTCACTGGAATTGCTTCACAAGCTATACAATGATATCAAGGGCATTTGAACATGGTCTCTATGACCTTCACATCCCCTGTATATTGATCTGGAGAGCAGTCAATACGCCCATTATCCCCCAGATCCTTGCTGATGCACACTGGGATCCTACAACTTTCCTGCTTGCACCTTCAGATGAATGATCCCACATTATGACAGTATGTACAATACTCCAACCTATGTCAGTAATGTTCAGCTATTGAGAGAAGGCTTGGCCACATACTATTGTTGGATTCTTCATCACTGTGTCTGCTGCCTTGCTTGGCACTACTGGCTTCCTATCTACTTCATTGATATTCATGGTGTTTAAATCATTGCTAATCATTGGAGTTAATTTAACATATGGCACAAACAATGAACTCCTCATTAGATTGCATCATAAAATGGGTTTTTCCTATTCTAGGACAGCTGAAGGTTGGGTCTGTGTCCTGCAGGGACAGATTGATGCAACCTTCCTGTGTGCAAATACTGTACTGCTCCCTACACCAGGATCCACTGTGGTGGTGGTAGGCATTGACATTAGAGTCAATGCAACTTTGCCAGATGCCAACACTGTATTTTTCCCTACAACAGGACCCACTAGAGGCATTACAAATTGTCCTATCATAACAATCATGATGAATACAATCATCTTGTCTGTGTGAAACTTTGAATATTACAATAAAGACAATGTTTGCAAGGCTCAAACTCGTAAGATGAACATTTTATATCATATGAGAAGCACATGCATACATACCCAACTAGAATGTCACATCAGAAAATTTGTTAAACATTCATTAAGCACAACTCCAAGCTGACTTGATATTTGAGCATGCTATTCCCAATGCCAGACCCAGTCACACTATTGATCAAACAGCACTCACAGCCTGATATAAATGGCATTCTATCTACCATGGCAATAATAATTGTTGATATGAATCACAGCATGATTTTGAGAATGGGACTTGGCAATGAACAAGTAAGTTCATGTTAAAGATTATGTGGCACATCTAACTTCATGTGTCTCAGATTACAGTTCCTGAAAAGTGTGTTGATGCACTACAGGTTGTCACTTATCAGCTTGACCTATATCAGACTATCACCAATATATTGATCCAGCTTCCAGAGTCAGCTGACATTGACCAACAGATCACATTCTATCTGTCTCTTGCCACATATATGGCTGATATTGTTACAGTACCCTATTCTTTTTCTCACCATCACTACGGACACCTTATGGCTGTACTTCTAACACTTCCCTTTCACCTTGCTGTTTCCTCATGGTCTCTCTCATCTTTGACTCATACTTTGTTTTCTCATGAACTTTGCTTTCTCAGTACTTGTTACCATTTGCCCAGCTTGGTCTGTGCACAATTCCCTTATGTATATAAACCCTAGTTACTGCTTGTATTTTCTCTAACTTGAATCTACTCAGTTCTCCTTGATATTTGAACTCTAGCTCCTTGGAAAGGAGGCTAGCCATTGTCCATTTAAACTCTAGACCCTGTGAGAGTCTAGACAATTGCTCCTGAGGGAGGCATTGACTTGACAAGGTCTTATCCTTGGTTGACCCTGATCCTGATTCCTTTATTAGAATGATGCTCCATCTGAGTTTGTAACAGATATCATCATTTGCATTCTAAGGTAAAACAAGGTGGGATGAAGAGTATAACATCTAAGTGGCAGTCTGCACATCTTGACTTTCACATTACCATGGCCTTGCACAACAGTGCATTTACTTCGGAACATCAGAACATGGTGCTGAAGAGGATCAGCTGGACATGGGCTCAGTTCAAACAAAAGAGAGCTTACAGGAAGGTCCAAGCATATTAGTTTCTCAATTAACATGGATTTCATGAATAGATGCTCACTGTGGATGAACTATAGTTACATTTGAAGGGTTACACAAGGAACTCTGTGCAGATAGGGATGACTTGTGTGGTGGTCCCTTTGACCATATGAAGTTGATGAATGTTTTGATTGCTGAGCTGGTGAAAAGCCTTAGGTGTCACAGCCCCTTTATAACAAATTAAGGGAAGGGCAGAGACTAAGACTCAAAGAAAGGATATCATGATAAAAAGAAGATAATATTAAGCAGTGATGTTTGGGCTGATACACAATGTATAGACAGAAGGTTTAAACTAAAGAACTACTGACTATAACTAGCTGACTATATACAGTGGCTCAAAAAACTGTCCGCATGTTTTGACATTTTTCACTATCTATGATATTGTGTGAGAATGAACAAATGCCTCAAGGACATGCTTATAGCACATTGTAGTATGGCTTCAGGGCTTTCATTTGAGCCTTACACCATGGGAATCGGTGGAGATATGGTGGAGATACAAGGCTCACAAAATGGTGACTCATGTGGACAGTTTTTTGACTCAAGTATTTTACAATAATAACCAGGTATTCTAGTATTTTGTATGACCTCCCTTGGCTTTAATTACTGCCTCTATCCTTCTAGGCATACTCTCAATTAATTTCTGGCAATCCTCAGCTGTGATCTTCCCCCATTCCACTGCTACTCTCTCCCAAAGCTCCCATACTCCTTTAGGGGGGTTTTCATAGGCTTGAAGCTTTTTCTTGAGTGTTCCCCAGAGATGTTCAATGACATTGACATCAGGAGACTGTGCTGGCCAGTCAAGAACATTGATGTTATGTTCTTCAAACCATTCCTTAGCTCTTCTGGATGTGTGCTTTGGATCATTATCCTGTTGGAAAATGATATCTTCTTCATCAATCCCTGATTCTGCCAAGCTAGGCAGCAAGTGGTCATTTAAAATGTCCACATACTGCTCAGCATTCATCTTCCCCTCAACCTCAGCAAGTGTTCCCACACCATTCCATCCCATACAGCCCCATACCATTAAAGAACCTCCTCCAAACTTGACAGTCCCATTAACCTCTCTGTCTGTTAGGCCATCTCCCTTCTTTTTCCATACATATACCTTCCCATCTGACCCAATCCTATTGATTTTGGTCTCATCTGACCATATAACATGCTTCCAGTCCTCTACAGTCCAGTGTTGATGAGCTAAGGCAAAGGCTAGTCTTCTCTGCCTATGTTTGATGGAGAGAAGGGGCTTTTTCTTCTTTGTTACTGCCTTGAGATGAGCTGCCTTGAGAACATTCCTCACAGTTTGTAAAGAGACAGGGGTAGTGATGGTGGAATTGATATAATGGGTGGCTTGGACAGCATTATCAGCCTTTCCTGTAGTGATATGTTGGATAATAGCCCTTTTGTCAGTAGAGGTAAGCTTGGATGGACGTCCTCCACAAGAGTTTTCCTTGTCTGGGTGGCTTTCTTTGATAAACTTGGCCACAGTGGACTTGCATACTCCAGTTCTAGAGGAAATTTGGCAAGCAGAGAGGCCAGCATAAGACAGAGAGGATATTATCTCTTTGAGCTGAGGAGATGGCTTTCATGGTGATTATGACTATGATACATGAGATATTCTGGTTTATATAGTTAGATATAGTCATAAAATAACATAATGACACCACTTCATAATTTATATAATAGTGGCATGATTTTTGTGGTATCATAAATAATGATTTATATAGTTTTAATATACACTCAAAAAACTGTCCACATGAGTCATCATTTTATAAGCCTTATGTCTCCACCATATCTCCACCGATTCCCACGGTGTAGGGCTCAAATGAAAGCCCTGAAGCCATACTACAATGTGCTATAAGCATGTCCTTGAGGCATTTGTTCGTTCTCACACAATATCATAGATAGTGAAAAATGTCAAAACATGTGGACAGTTTTTTAAGCCACTGTAACCTCCTGTAACTCTCTGTAGCACCTCAGTTTGAATATCAACTTAGTTCTGCTCATTCCTATCCTCTGGACCTGAGTACCACTACTCTCATCACCCTCCAAGACTTAGGATTGATTCCTATAGTCTATCCGCATCTGCCTCTGTCTATGACAGCCATTACTGCTAGTTTCTAGTCTGGACTTGTCCAGATTAGCCTTATAATACTTATCCTGCATCCGGAAGTCATCCGGATCCACTATGCTACCCATCCAACCCTCTGGACACATTAGTCTTGCCTTCCTGAAATAAGGGGCAATACTCAAGTAAGGGGCACAGCGCACAAGCTGAGGCCGAAGCCCTTCAGATCCAGTTAGCCCTTGAGTACGACCTTAACAGGATGCATAAATCTATCACCAGCATGGTTTCAACAGGGGCACAAGGTAGGATCTGAAGAGATGGTGATTTCAGTAGTTAAACTCACCAATCCCATAGAATCTGTCAGATCTGGAGGTATCTGCATCATTGAAGGGTCCATGCTCTGAGAAAATCCTCAAAGCCATTGCAAGGCCAGCAGCCATTGCATCAGCAGCACTCAGGGTCATGCATCCTGAGCAGTACTGGGCAGGGATGTGAGCCTTTTCAAGCCTTAGAGAAATGGCAGAAAGCAAGAAACTGCCAAAGATGTCAGAGACCCTCCAGTACTGGGCATCTGTGTTTACCATTCTCTCTGTCATTTCCAATCGGCAAACCCCCAATCATCGAGACCATTTATCTATTCCTGAATGCTTTGATATTCTCACTACTGTGGGGAAGTATTCTAATGCTCACATGAGTGTGCCAAGCCTTCAGCTGGAGTTCAGGTATGATCCTAGCTGTATGATTGCATTTTCCAGAAGGATTGTTAGACATGGGGTTCATGAAGTGGAAGGGGATTGGATTGCTTGGGCATGGTATATGAGGGATTCTGTTCATATTTATGCTGGGGTGCCCACATGCAGATGGGCTAGGGTTAATTACACACATTCACCACCCTGTGAAAGATCAAACAGGCAGAGAGCATAGTTACCCATGGTAGTGCCTACTGTCAAAAAAAAATACCAAGTACCAATAATTGAGTGCCAATGATCAAGCATTAAGAACCAACAACCAACTCAAACCAATTGCTGTTTGACACTCACATTGGAACTCAATACCCAATTCTTGATTTCTGGAACTTGATATCTGATATTCAGAACTTGATACTTAATATTTGGAACTCAATATTCAATATTCAGCATTTGGTATTCAACATTTGGAACTTGATATTAGAAACTTGATATCTGGAACTCAATCCTCAATGTCCAGATCTCAATACTCAATATTTGGGACTTGGCAGGTAATGTTGGGTTAGATATTCAGAAGTTGGCATGTGATTTTTGGTACTCTTTACATCAAGTGTGGAACTTGGACCTTGACATTCTGAACTCAGTATTCAATAGTTGGTGGTGATCAATAATTCAATCACATATTTCTATTCCTCTCCAAAGTCAAAGATCTGTACAACATTCATCTAGGGGAATATACTCTGGACATACTAACATTGACTATAGATACTCCCCTCTGCCTCTCTGCAATTGGTTTAAGATGGCTGTGTACATTTCAATCTCAACCATCTTATCACAGATGCCCTCCCATTGCTCCTCAATCAATGTCAGGAGGTGTTCTCTAATCCACCTCAGTCCCAGCAGTGATGGATCTGAGGTTTCATCCACCTGCTCAGGAAGAATCAGACCATCATCCTCAATGCCACCCTAGAACAGATTAGTCATCACTCAAGGAAATTGTGTATAATACCCTATCCTATGTTGAATGGTCCCTAGAGGAGGAGCAGGCCTATACAAAGACAAAAAAAGCGGTCTATTATATTATGTTGTACATATATATACTAAACTACTACTTAGATGCAAGGGGGGACCTATTGTGGTGCAGTGGTAAAGCTACAGTGAGGTGGGAAGGGTGTGGGAATAATTCATATTGTGGAGAGTCCCAAAATGGGTGATGTTTTGGGTGTTGTGGGGCAATTCCCACACTGTGTGGCCAAAAATGCAGTGTGGCAATATTGTGGGAAGTCCTGACATGAGGAATTGAGCCAGATGGGAAATTGGAAGACAAAATTGCTGTCATGTATTATTTGTAAGCTGTAAATGATTCTCTGGAGCAGTGAGAGTAAGGTTACGTATAAAGGATAATGAAGGATATCGTCAGGGATCCCTGACAAGGAAGCATAACCAGTGGTCTCTAACTAGAGTTGGTTATCCATAACACTGCCAGCAACAGGTGAATACTGTTGGTGCATGAGTGCATGTGATGATGCGATGCATGAGTGACCAGAATCCAAACCACGGACCAGTATATATAGTTGTTTCTCTTTGTATTGTCTCTTCCCTCAGTCCATTCCACCAAGACTGAGGGCATGTTTATTTGTTTATCTCACTACAATAACTAGACACTAACACACATTTGTACTAGTGTTAACTGTGTCTAGAATTATAGTGGTTTTCAAAACAGTTGGCACAGCTGCTGAAACACCACTTTTTCAGCTCTTTCGAATACATAGAATCAAACAATTGTTTCTCAACAACCACTGCTCCAAATGCTATGATTCTTTAATGAAAGATGATCTATTTTATGGTGCCCAGGGCATGCCAACAAAATTTGAATGATTTGGCCACTACTTCGATATCTTGTTTTCATGGTGTTACTTTACATTGAACTACCATTCCTATTTCTAGATTCGCTGAAACTGATGCTCTTTGAGGCGAGCATGTATTGCATGAGTTATTGCCGTCACATGTGTTCGACGATCCTGCTTTCTGCATATCAATTCACGGTACTCGTCATAAAGAGCCGGTAAACTAATACATCAATGCC